TCCTGCTTCCCCGGGGCGGGCCTCGGCGCCGCCGCCCTGGCCCGCCTGACAGCCCGCTCTGTCCCAGCAGAGAGCTCCGAGGAGGAGGACGCGCCGTCGTTTGCCCCGTCCAGCTCCGTCGACGGCAACAACACAGACTCCGAGTTTGAGAAGGGCCTCAAGCACAAGGCCAAGGCCCCCGAGCCCCAGAAGGCCGCGGCGCCCGTCAAGGACGAGTACGAGTTTGACGAGGACGACGAGCAGGACAGGGTCCCCCCGGTGGACGACAAGCACCTGCTCAAGAAGGACTACAGGAAGGAGGCCAAGGCCAGCAGCTTCGTCTCCATCCCCAAGGTGGACGTGAAGAGCTACACGAGAAACAACGCGGCCGCACCAAAGAAAGCTGCCCACCGCATCCTGTCCGACAGCTCGGACGAGGAGGACCTGGGCGTGCCCCCGGGGGCCGGGGAGAAGCTGAGACTCCCTCACGCGCTGCTGCCCGGCGGCAAAGCACGGGAGCCCGCCGGCGCCAAGCTGCAGAAGGAGAAAACCAAGGTGAAGAAGAAGCGGAAGAAAGAAGCGAAAGGGAAGGAGGTGCGGTTCGGGAAGAGGAGCGACAAGTTCTCCTCGGAGTCGGACAGCGAGGGCCCGGACAGCGGCGCCGACGACGCGGACTCGGCGGGCAGCTCCGGCGGCCTCAGGGAGTCCCCGCTGGTGCTGAAGGACCCCTCCCTGTTCAGCCCCCTGTCCGCCGCCTCCACCTCGTCGCACGGGAGCTGCGCCGCCCAGAAGCACAACCCCGGCCTCCCGGACCCGCACGCCAAGCACTGGCGCACGGACAACTGGAAGACCATCTCCTCGCCCGCCTGGTCCGAGGTCAGCTCCCTGTCGGACTCCACGCGGACACGGCTGACCAGCGAGTCCGACTGCCCCTCCGAGGGCTCCAGCGTGGAGTCGCTGAAGCCCGCGAGGAAGAGGCAGGAGCACAGGAAGAGGGCCGGCCTGCCCGAGAAGCGGGGCGCCGTCCACTCCAGCGTGGACGGCGCCATCCCCAAGCTGGACAAGGAGGGCAAGGTCGTCAAGAAACACAAGATGAAACACAAACACAAGAGCAAGGACAAGGGGCTGGGCCCCGTCGGCCAGGAGCTCAAGCTCAAGAGCTTCGGCTACGAGTACGAGGACGCCAAGCCCAGGCCCGACAAGGGCCTCCTGCTGGACAGCGAGCTGCCCGCCGAGAGCAAGCTGAGGGCGCTGAAGCACGACAGAGACCACTTCAGGAAGGAGGAGAAGCCCGGCAAGGCGAAGCCGGAGGACAAGGACTGGCTGTCCAGGGACGAGGTGGGCAAGGCCGGCCGGGACGAGAAGCCGCTGCGGAGAAGCCGGGACGCGGGCAGGGCCTTCCGGGAGGAGCGGGAGCGCGCCCTCAGGCCCGAGCGGGAGAAGCCCGCCAAGGAGAAGTCTCCCCGGGAGGAGCGGCTGCGGCTGTACCGGGAGGAGAGGAAGAGAAAGCCCAAAGACAGAGCCTCGAAGCTGGACAAGAAGAGTGACCTGAAGGAGGACCGCCCGTCCAAGGAGAAGGACAGGCTCAGGCGGGAGAAGGCCTTCCGGGACGAGCCCGCCTTCGACGAGTTCCGCGGGGCCGGCCCGTTCCTGGAGCCCGAGGACGCCAAGTTCGGCCTCTCCGACGACCAGCAGGACCGCTGGCTCTCGGACCTGTCGGACTCGTCCTTTGACTTCAGAGGCGAGGACAGCTGGGACTCGCCCGTGACGGACTACAGGGACATCAAGGGCGACTCGGTGGCCAGGCTGATCCTGGAGACGGTGAAGGAGGACAGCAAGGAACGCAAGCGCGAAGGCCGGGCCCGGGAGAAGCGGGAGCTCGGGGAGCGGCGGGGCGAGCGGGACGCCCTCTTCAGGAAGAAGGAGCGGGAGCTCCCGGACAGGAACCCCGAGAAGCGGCGGGAGCAGGCGGAGAAGCACAGGGGCCTGCCCGGCTGCCTCCCCGAGAAGGACCGGAAGCGCAGGGAGGGCGCCGAGGGCGGGCGCGACCGGAAGGAGGCCCTCGAGGCGGCCCGGGAGCGCAAGGACGGCAGGGCCAGGCCCGAGGAGGCCTTCAGGGAGGAGCCGCGGGAGCCGGGCGGCGACGGCCTCTTCCGGGACAGGCCCGACTGCGAGCCGGGCAAGGGCCCGGAGCCCTGGGAGCGGCACCGCCCGGCGCGCGAGCGGGAGAAGAGGGAGAAGAGCAAGGCGGAGAAGCACAGGGACAAGTCCAGCGACAAGGACAGGGCCGAGAAGGCCGGCCCGGACAAGGCCCCGAAGGACAAGGACGCCAAGGACAGGAAGGAGGCCAAGGACAAGCACAGAGACGCGCACGGCAGAGAGCGGGACAGGCGGGCCGGCCCGGAGGCGGCGCGCGAGCGGCGCGAGAAGGCTTTCGCCGGCGCCGACGACTTCTCGGAGAAGAAGGACGAGAAGAAGGGCAAGGAGAAGAGCTGGTACATCGCGGACATCTTCACGGACGAGAGCGAGGACGACAAGGAGGCCCTCTCGGCGGCCGGGCTCAAGGCGGCCGAGGCCGGGGAGGGGCCGCGGGCGGACGGCCTGTCCGAGCGGGAGGACGGCGACAGGCACCGGAAGGGCTCCGCCGACCGGCAGCACGCGGAGCGGCCCAAGGAGAAGGAGCCCAAGGAGCGCCGGAAGGACAAGGGGGCGGCCGAGGGGCGGGACCGGAAGGAGCGGGGCTGCGACAAGCACCGGGAGAAGCGGGACAAGGAGGCGGCCGAGAGGCACAAGGACCGGAAGGACCGGGCCGCGGCCGACGCCCCGCAGGAGAAGCGGGGCCGGCAGAAGCCCCCCGAGAAGGCGGAGCGCAAGGGCCCGGCCGAGGACAAGGCCAAGGGCCGGCACCGGGAGCACTGCCGGGAGCGCAGGGCCTCGCGGGCCGGGGAGCCGGAGCGCAGCCTGCTGGAGAGGCTGGAGGAGGCCGCGCTGCGGGAGGACCGCGAGGACTCCAACGACAAGGCCAGCGAGGCCTCCTCCGACAGCTTCCCCGACCGCGGCCCCGACCCCGCCCTGAGCGCGCTGCTCGAGGCCGCCTTCCCCGAGCCGCCCGACGAGCGGGGCCGGGAGCGGGAGCGGCTGCGGCACGCCTCGTCCTCCTCCAAGAAGAGCCACGAGCGGGAGCGCGCCCGCAGGGACCGGGCCGAGAAGAGGGACAAGGGCGAGGAGCACCGGGACCCCGGCGGCGGCAGGAGGGACCCCGGCCCCGGCCCGCACGAGAAGGACTTCCCGGACGCCGAGGCCTACGGCCTGGCCTACGGCGCCAAGGCCGAGCCGGACGAGGAGCTGGACAAGGCCGCCGAGCTGTTCGCGACCGACAGGAGGGAGAAGGGCGAGGCCGAGCGGGAGGCCGCCCGCAAGCCGGACAAGGAGCTCAAGCCCTACGGGGCCGGCGCCCTCGGGCTGCTGCGCGAGAAGCGGCGGCGGGAGCGG